TGGTTCAAAAAAAATTGTAGATTAATACCAGAAGTTTAAACTTTTTATTTTGTTGTGCAGTCTAATTTGTTATGAAATTTTTTAAAACGACCAGTTTTCCCTTCATTAATTTCATTTTCTATTTTTCTTATTTTGTTATATTTCTTATTTAAAATTAAACAAAAAAAGAAAAGAAAAAAATAGAAAAAAAATTAATCGTGTTATCATCCATTCACGACCCACCCCCATATTTTTTCCCTTTGGTAAACATGAACACCACCACCACCGGTTACCGTCTCCACCGTAGCTCGCTACCTCCACATCTCTCATTCTCAAGTTTGAATTCCGAAAATATCCTGTAACCTACAGTGGCTATTCCAGATGAAGATAGAGAGGGGGAGTGAAAAGGAGCGTTGGAGGGAGTGAGAAACCCTTGCCGATCCACCACTATATGCAGATTTGTAACCACCACCACCACTAATGTTAGAGAAGTAGAGAGACGAACTCCAGCCACAGACGTTGGCGACAGAGGGTTTTCGACGGAGAAGAATAACGACAACGAAAGAGGGTTTTCGACATAGAAAAAGAAAGATCGTCATTTGGGAGACCCTAACTTGTTTGATACTTGTTATTCTAAAACCCTAACTCGTTAGATCTGAGAATCCTAACCGGTCACTGCCCTTAGTTTGCCAAATCTTTGGTTTGCGACAGTCTTCAAGTTCGATGGAGAACGATAAAGAGAGACGAGGATCGACCGAGATAGAGGCGGAGGCGGCGTTTGTGGCTCGATTTTCCAGACAGAGCGACATTTGCAGATATGGACGGAGACGACGAGATCGAAGATTAGAGACCATATATTAAAGATTTACCATGATACTAGAGGGTGTAGTTGAGGTGGGTTTTCTGGTGATAGATCTTAAAATCGAGCCACAGATGGAGAATATAAACTGAGAAGGGGGTGGTGTTGTAAACCGATCTAGACTATGGTGGAGAACACAAATAGATCTGGAACACAGATAGAGAAGAAGAGCATCTCTAAAAACAGATGGAGAAGACTAACCCTAGATATGATTTCTCCTTCTGTTTTCTCCATCTCCATTGATAACCAACGAGTTCAACAATTTGTTATGGGTGTTTTTTTGGTCATCTGGTCTGATTTTCAAGAAGAATAAGAAGATTGGTACATATAGAGAGAGAGGGTGAGAGAGAGAGAGAGAGAGAGAAATTAGTTTCAATTTTTTTTAACAAAAAAAAATTAATAAAAAAACTGAAAAAGAAAAAGTAAGGGTAAAATCGTCATTTTAAAAAAGTTCAAAGCAAAACGGACCAAACTCGCAACAAAATGAAAAGTTTGGACCTTTGGTGCTAGTCCAAACCTTTTTGGACCAAAGTGACAATTTTCAGCTAACCACATAGACCATTTGTGCAGTTTTGTCTACCGGATATCCTTAGGCTATAAATCCTTTAGTATAAATATTATACAGGTTGATTAAAACAAAATATTAAATACAAATGAATAAATGAAATTTTATTTATATTTGAAATTTAAAATAAGTGAAAATTATGAGAAAAAAAATTAAAAATATCAAGATGTGTTTTTGTCTGACACGACACGACACGACAATGTTTTTTGTAACACGAACACGACACGATAAGATGTCGTGTTTTTCTCAACTAATACGAAAACGAACTAATTAAAAAACAACAAACACGACACGACACGACAGAGATAAAATAATATAACAATTAATTTATTTAATTAATACTTAATCATATATAACACGACAAATACGAAAAACACGACAGACAAATGCTAAATGGTGTCAATTTCATGTCGAATTTTGAACACGATACAACATCGTGTTTTTTATACTTGACACGAACATGATATGAACACGAATTCGAATTCAGTTTCATCCAAATTTCATTTCGTATCGTGTATTTTTGTCACGTGATGTCATCAATTGTCTCCCCTAATTTTGCGGCGTGAATGAGATTATCCACAAATTATCGTGTTATATGCAATTAAGCATTTTGTAAAAAAATAATAAATAAATAAATAAATAAATAAAAACAACCATTCACAGTTGACATTTGGAACTTGATGCGTTTCTTCTGCAAAAATATATCTGGACCATTTTGAAGATGTCATTGCAAACTCGCAAATTTCATTTGGGTAACTTTCAATACATGCGATTACATTCAAACTTATCACTTTATTTATGAATTCAACAAATCATATTTTATTTTCCATTTATTTATTTGAATACTATATGAAGTTTGTTTTAGTCTTAAACATTCTTTTATTTAAAGTAATACGAGTTAATTTTTTTTTCGTTGTGAAAATAAAGATTGTCATAGTAGATTTTCACGGTTTTTCTAAAACTTTTAGTTTATGTTTATTTAAAATATTTGTTATTGCGGAATTTGTCCAAAAATATCATTGACATAATATAATATCAAAATCAAGACATTTTAGACAAAATTTTATATTTTAAAAGTCTGAGATATCATAACTGATACAAGAACATAAGCATAAGCATGTCTTACATCAATATTTTAGCAGTCTACGAACACCTTAAATCTCAGCAGATAATTATATTATCTATCAGTATATTCGTATTGATACTTGTGCTATATAAAAACTGAGTGAGTTAGGTTGCGAAACTGGTGAACACATAGGGTTTTCAACCCACAATGTTATAATCTTTAATTATATAATATTCAACATTTAAACAACTCAGGTACCCCATTCTTGTTATTCTCACTTCCTAATCTTAAAAATCAAGAGATATTTTCTAAAGGATATTTGACAGCAGTAATCTATATTTTCTTAAGTAATTAGGTACAACAGTATGACAATACTTTGGACATCGCACGGTAATCCAATAGTACTTTGGGTAAACACGGCGGTACGATAATACTTTTTGGGTAGGCGCGATAAGTAGAATGATACTTTAGACAGACACGACAGTATAATAGTACTTTCGGATAAACACAATAAGTCAGGGTTGATTGTTTCGCACAACACTCACTAACATATCACAATCATTATCTTATACAACCATATCACAACCTCTTATTTATTATTTTACATAGCCCATTAGTACCCAGTCATAGTATTAAGTATAACATACGATTAAATAAAGTAACAATCGTATCATGTAGTGCGAATATATTAAACATAGCAAAAACAACGCACATAGCATTTAAGCATATACGATTCTTGTATTTATGAGTAAGTTTGAAAGTAACTATACACTCATTTGTTAAAGTAATGACATAGAAATCAGATAACGTTTCGCTTTGCACTTTGCTTTTCGTTTGATGTGACCTAGTATAATTTTCACTAAGTCTTAGTCTAATATTCCTTATGACTAATGATAGTATAAATTCCTCAATAATCCCAATGTCTACTAATCTATAGTTGAAAAGAGACAACAAGATAGGATTATATCGGAGGTAGGGTCAGTTTGGTATACAGAGTATATTGTTTGAAAATTCTACTTTAAACACCTCAATAAATCCAACCTAAACATCATCCCCGTAAATAGATCTGTCAGTAATATGACATTGGAATTACTGACAAGTTATATTTATAAATTCATAACAACAACTATGAATTTAAATACAAATTACACTAAAATAATATAAAGTGTAATTTAACTTACAAATATTTCCTAAATAAAAGTCCAGAAATTGTACTAGCAGAGCTTCTACTTAAAGGCTACTACTTGCCGAACACTCAGGGGTCGTAGGGCTTCATCGTCTACTAAAAACTAAGGAAATTTGGATCTAATGCAAAGAGAACTCAATGGATTGAGCTATAGGGGTGGGATATGAGAAGTATATATAAAGGCGGGTATTTATAGTTGAAAAAGATATGCACGTCGTGCAAATGGTCGGGGTGCTGAAGTTTCGTTCTCTAAATGGTGCTACGTGTCGAGATTTGGGTGGATGTCAGATGCGCGCCACATATATTGTCTGTATGCACGACTGTGCATGCAATTTTTTTTTCTAAGAAAGTTCATAACTTGATCATATGAGCTCCGTTTTTTACGGGTTTTATATCTACGTATAGCTATCGACGAGATCTACAACTTTCATTTAGATTTCTTTGACTAATTTTGATTTACTTCTTAAAGATATATTATTATCTGACTTAGACTGTTAAAGTCTGTTAAAAACTCTAACTTTATGATACGATATCCGTTCTCGATTGTCTTTATATTAACAGATAGGTGTTGACGGGATCATCAACTCTCTTTTAGATTGCTTTTCCTAAACATCGACTGATTTCAATTTCAGTTTCTGAACTGTATACTACTGCGCTGAGATATTAGAAAAATCATAACTTCTTCTTATGAAATCAGATTTGAACATTCATTATATGCTCACTCTAAATTTTACGATTACTATGAATTTCATCTAATCACTTAGGCTAATAATTAATCTATCAAAAATCCACATTTTACGATACGCATAGCCGTGTTGGTTTAATTGCAAAACTTTGAAGAAGCATAATTTTTTCATACGAAGTCGGATTTCAACATTCTTTATATGTATGAACTCCTTGTCGCATATATTATAATTTTGGTTAAGATTATTTATCCTAAATAATCTTTTATCTAACAAGTTGTTTTTAACGCTTATAATGACTAGCTTGAATCTGCAGGTGTTACAGCAGTTATTTAAAAGTTAACCATTTTTTAGACAATAATCTTAGTGAAAACAACTAAGATCTACAATTAGGGAAAATGACTTATGAAGGTAACTAACTATTTCTATTGTCCATATATAGGTAATATTCTTTTTTTTTTTGTTCTCATTAATGGAACCAACTTGTTAGTTATGTTCATATTTAGGTAATATGACCGGCTATTACCTGTTTTTGCTTATGTGGCAGCCATCTGACACATGAGTTGAATACGTTGCACTTACATGGCATTGTGCTTATATCATCTTCGTTTACAGTATAAGAAGTCATTTAATTACACCTGATTTTGAACCCTAGATCAACGATGGCTTCTTCTTCCTCATCTTATTCTTCAATACGACAAGATGATTTTCAAGCTGATCATCCATGTGATTGCAACTTACCATCTCGTGTGAAGACTTCAAGAACCCCTGACAACCCTGGAAGAAAATTTAGAGTTTGTCAAAACTCGATGGTACGCTGAATACGTTCCAACTTTCTTCTTCTCCATCTTTTTGAATACCCTTTCTTCTTCTTCATCCTTTAACCTAACATTTTTTTTAAACTTTTCTTCAAGAATGGAAAAAGTCCAAGCTGTAAATTCTGGCAACGGCTGGATGAGGATGAAGGGAGGACAGATGGAAGAAAGCCTTACTGGAGGAAACCAGAAGAAAGCTGTAATTTAACCTTGAAAATTTGCACTTTGGAGAATGAAATCAGCATATGTAGAATGAAGATCGAAGAAGAAAAGAACACCAATTTTGTTAATAGACAGGAATTGGACAAAGTCAGGTGGGAGTTGTTTACTAAAAAATTGGCACTGATTTTGTTATTTGTATTGTATGTGAAAATTTGGATTTCATTGTAGTTCATGATGTATTAGGGTTGAATGATGTAGTTCATGATTGAAACATGATTGGTATTAGAATGATGTAGTCCACCTGTTATTGTGTATGGTTATGTATGTTATGAATGGATGAAATTTTTGTTACATGTTTTTGCTTTTAAAGTTTTTGTTACATGTTTAGAATGAAAAGTAATTAAACACTGGAATGGTATACATTGAAACATTGGGATGTAATATAATATAATCTAACATGGGAATGTAACATTGGATTCCAGGAAACACTGTTTACAAAACAATGGAATTTAACACAGTTACAGATGCATTACTGCCGAAAGGTACACATATTACTAGACAAAAGATTCCCAGTCAATGATGCCAAAAAAACAACAAATTATCAAATTCTATTCCAATTCCATTGGTTTATCACCACTACTCCCCTCTTTCCCCTCCCACTTCTTTCTTATTTGAATTTTTGTGATTCTTTCTGAAGGTTTCCTTCTTCTCTTTCCCTGTAGAACCTGAAATGCTGGTACTTCCATCATATGCTCCTCTTCCACTGGATCTTGAACCGCAGCCTGTCCTTGGTTATCTTGTCCAACTGGATCTTGAATTACTTCAACTTCAACCTGTTCAACTTGATCTACATCTCCAGCCTAGTATTCACCTTCTTCAACTTCAACTTCAACAAGTGCTTTAACATGTTCTTCAACTTCAACCTGTTCTTCAACCCCTCCAACTTCAACCTGTTTTTCAACCCCTCCAACTTCAACCTGTTCTTCAGCTTCAACCTTAGGTTGGTCTACATCTTCCTATGTATGATTACCCTCTTCAAAATCAACTTCATAAGACTCCACCTCACTATTAGGCTCCCTTTGAACTTCACTGTCACTATTACTTTCCAAATCAACTTCTTGATTCAATTCAACCTTCACTTTACCTATTATGAAATAACTCAAATGTTAGAATTAGAAACTGTTTTATTGTAATCAAAAGGTAAATAAATAGAAATACCTTTTTTGTTGGCTTTTTTATTTTTTGACTTTGACTTTGGATTTGAGGATTCCCCAATTGGTTTTTGAGGACATTTTGCTTTATTATGCCTTGATTCTCTGCATATGCTGCATCTCATAGCTATTCCCCCTTTTGAGATTGTATGCTTATTGCCATTTAGTTCATTCTCAATCTGATCCCTTTTCCTTTTTGTTGATGGTCTTCCTGGCATTCTTCTCCTTTTGGGAAGCAATGGCTTGATGTAATCCACATCAGGCTACATCTCACTACCATTTAGTGGCTTAATGGTGTACATGTAGGCATTACAAAACATTGTTGTGGTCAACCATGGTGATACATAGTCCTCTGGATCCCTATTGAGGTTTGAAATTGCAGCATATGCATGTACACAAGGGTAACCAGTTAATTGTCAGCCTCTACATCCACATGTTTTCTTACCAAGGTCTACAACATGTAACCAGATGATACAACTCTCCAAAGTCTGTCCACATACACTTAAATGTAAGTATACACAATTGAATGTCAAACATATAAGATGTAAGTATATAAAAGGTATTCAATCACTAACCTTTGAAGTTCCTTAATATTGGACAATTTCAGTCTGATGGTAGGACATATGTTTAAGTCTCCCCAAGAACTTCCCTTACTTTTTTTGTCTACACAGTCTCTCCATCACATAAATTCTAATTTCCTTTAACATAGTGATTAGAGGTCTCTTCCTGGCAGCTGCACTGATTGAGTTAAAACTCTTAGAAACACCATTATCATATGCATCACATGCCCTATCAGTCTGAAAGAATGCTTTACTCCAAGTTTTAGGGTCCTTCTCCATTAGATGATCATAGGCTAGTGGTTCTATCTTCTTGATTTCATTCATATGTTGCTCAAATTTAGCCTGGGTAGTAGAAGCATCAACTCTCCAGAAAAGTGTACTGAACTGTTGACCCTTGAACTTTTTCATGAAATTAGCACATATGTGTCTTGCACATTGTCTACGCTCTGCTGCAGGTACCCTTTCCTTGACAACCTCAAGTAATCCCTGTCAGCATTACAAACAAAACATAAACTTCATATAAATTAAGTATTAAATAAAGAGAGCATATAAAATCATTACTTTATGCTAGTCTGATATTAATGTCAACCTATGTTCATTTCCCATTCCAATGTCATCAAGGAGAAGGTCAACAAACCACTTCCATGTTTCCTTATCTCAACTGCAACCACAACCCAAGCAAGAGGGTATATATGGTTGTTTGCATCCCTACCTACAACAACAAGCAACTGACCTCTACAAACACCTTTTAAGAACCAGCCATCTGTCCAATTACCCTTCTACAACCTTTAATCCATCCATCCTTCACACACTTTAAACATATATAGAACTTTGAGAAGTAAGTGGCTCCATCAGGCACGACATCTACATCCTGATGGGTTTTGGTCATAAGACATCCTATGTGCTCATACAAACAATAATGCTTGGATCTAGGTTTCTCTATTGTACATGCTTTGAATCCAAGACTATAAAACCTAATTCTAGCATATGGAAATCGATATTAACATATAATTAGGTTTAAGATATTACCTTGATTGTTATGTAGCAATAACAATCCTAATTCCTCCTTGAATTGACTTTGGAAGGCTTAGAGTCACAAGTGTCACTCCTATAATGGCTTACAAACACCAAGAGCAAATGGAGAAGGTATAAAGAGAGAGGAGAGAGGTAGGAATTCGTCCTTAGGACTTCTTGGGAAGGCTTACACGAATTCATGAGCCTTAGGGGGTTTATATAGGTGTAAAGATTAGGGTTTTAGTCCTTATCCTTATCTAGTTGCTTGCCCACCAAGTAACCATAAGATAAGTCTTAGAAACCCTTATCCTAGTCGAATTCTAAGGCATTATCTCCTTAAATTCGTTCACCCTATATTTAAGATAATCCTTACCTTATTTTGTAACTATCACATAATTACAAATCAGCCCCTCTAGTTTAATTAATTACACTTGATCACAAAATTAATTCCTAATTAATTATTGACCAATATTAATTAAACAAATATGATTTCTCCTTTAATATATTATTCTTATAACATATTAATAAATCATAATAACCTCTCTCTCTTTATTTATTTCTCCAATCAAGTTGCTTTGGTGAAGGCAACCCAAAAGGACCATGCACCATCGGGTCAAGTACATACCAAAATAGTTATGGACTTAGACACTAATCCAACAGTCTCCCACTTGGATAAGTCTAATAACTATTATGCGTATGACTTCAGATCCTGATCTGCAATCGTAGCTTTCCAAAGCCGCTGTCAACTCTGATCCTATCAGATACGCGTGTCCTTAGATAAGGGATCATATATTCCTCCATTCTAGATATCGTATAAGACATGATTTCTAATCATTCTCTTTGTACTATTTCTCGATTCCCGATTTATGACGACTGACTAATTGAACAAATCAAATTAGCCCTAGCCCGGCCGAGCATTTACGTTTGTCATCACTAAACCATCGAGGGGCCCAAAAGATATCGCTTTTATCCTTCTTTGGATAAAAGGAACGGATAAACTTTGATACAATGCTTGCTTGCACTACTAACCAAATCACACACAACAATATGTTTTATAACACCAAGTTACTAGTGCGTTTACATATTATCAATGTGCAACCGATTAAAGATACAACTCACACATCTCGGTTTCAAGAATATAAGATGTTATCGTCTCACCAATCACTCGTGATACAATTCATGGAGTGATCCAAGTGAGCGTGGGTTTAATCCAATGCTCAAATTCATATTCATAAGCACTCATGAATGTTGCAGCAAACATTTGCTTATGTCTAATACTCTTTTAGACAATCCACACACCAATTCACGACAGTCTTCATTCATATCTACTTCCAACATATGAACGACTGTGGCCCGTTTGAATAATTCGATTATTCTTAATAAACTCAATTATTCTGGAAGTCAAAACATGCAAAGTGAAACACAAGAATAATACTAATCCCATATGGCCTCAACCCTTTGAGTATAAATAAAACTCCTTTTATTTATCACCATATCGATTACTCATTATTTGTCGTTTCGGGTAATCAACTTCTTACTTGAATTACAACACTTATCCCATGCTCCTAGCATGCACACAATGTTCACCTATGGTTCTTACTTTGTGAAATAGATCACATTGAACACATTTCCAATCATTCTCATTTCACAACTCCAAATCCTTTTTCATAAGTGAAAGAATATCAAATTCTTGCTACTTATAGAATATGCTAGATTCTAACATTCTATGCAATGATTCTTTCGTAATGTCACTGCACCAAAGTCACAAAGACTATTGCCAATGATATTACAAAGTCCTCTATCGGAGATTGTTACAAGACAATTCCTTAGATATGATGTCTCTCACTCAAAGTACATTCCTTTGAACATCCTTTTGCATAAAGTTTCTAATCTAGTCATAGATTTTCAATATTCAATTCCCAATATGGACACGCTTCCATATTTCCATATGACAACTCATTCTTAATAGAATCTTTCTATTCATAATAATGTCGATATGGTCCATTCAATACCATGCTTCCAACTACTCACAAGCAACCAATCCTCGTCGAACTTTGGATTGTCCTTTGATAGTTGTTTAATTATTTTAGTCAAAACCTATTCTAGTCCTTTTTCCCTCTAAATGCGCTAGACATTTGAAAATTTAGAATGGTCAAACATTAAAGCATTTGCAATCGATCCTATACCCGAAGCGTATGGGACACGATGCACAATGTTTTATTTGCTATGTTCTCAAAATTCGAATTGTGAAAAGGAATTCGTAATCATAATCGAAATTTTAAGAACACACTATGTACCTTTGACTAAATTTATTAACATTTCTCAACCTAAGCCTTTAGATTTGAAATGAAGCATAATATTCTCTCCCTTAATTATAGCAAAACAACTTTACAACCCTTACGACTTTGCAAGGTATAACTCTTGTTTTTCTATAATTAATATTGCCAACTTGCAATACTTTCCATAATAATCATACAATCATAACTTTTATGCTCCCACTATCATGATGATTACTATAAAACATAACACTTATGCTCCCACTAGCTTCGACATGTATTCATAAACATCTTAACTTTCAGAAAAACAATACCTATTGAATTTCTTAAGTCCATGTTTCTAATACTTAATGCTTTGATAATCTTTTATCAAGGCTTCTTGAACTTATACACCTTTGCCTTAGATAGTTCATATGTGTGTCTAAACAATTAAGACTAATTGCCAAACCTCACAATTCAAATTATGGAAAGGGATACCGTAACCATGATCGAATTCGAGAATGCAATTTTACAATCACTATCTTCTTAAAATCTTTCTTAGTGAAAGCATTTCCTCACAATCATTTTCATGAAGGAGGAAATCTTATGACACTTAGATTTAAACGGTGTATGTGTTCTATCCATGTGAATTTGTTAAAACCAAAGTTTACGACAAATTCAAACTCATATGGACCGAACTTTCTTAATCTTGATTTCTTGCCTTATGGTAGCACAGCTGCCCACCACGTCTTCCAAGTAGTTAAGCATCTCACCTTTTTCCTATCAATGTACCTTTCATTGATCAAGGTGCCTTGCCTTTTATGCGTTCAAAATGAGAACTCATAGAACTCACATGCATAATTAACTCAATTGGAAACAACACAGAAACAAAATAATGTCAACACGATAGGTTGTAAACCTCAACTCGTGTGCTAGTGATGATCAATAAGGTTTATTTGACTTGTTCTTGAAACCTTTCAAGACCATTAAGGCTCCCACTGACTCCTTGACATATAAGATTCTTTTGTCAATAACCATTTCTTGACAAACAAATATTCAAGAGTTAGTGTAGTTTTTATCAAAACACTTCATAAATTGGTCCTAGTCGGTCTTTGTCTTATTCAAGACATCACAACTTTCCACATTTGATGAATGTTATAAACCTTTAATACTTTTCACTCATTGTCACAATCTTAACTTTAAGACTTGTTATTGGAACGAAGTATGATAGACTTCTTGATTTAACCATTTCTTCAATCCTTGATTCCTCTTCTTAATACAATTGTACTAAGACTCACTTAGAGGATCAATTGAGATATGGTTCTTAATCATTAAGATCTATCATAAAGCATAAAAGCTACTCTCCCTTCTTCTTAGAATGGAGAAACTTTTATTTTTCTGCCTACTTGATTCTTCTTATTCGTTCTACTATTGATCTAAACCCTTTAATCAATTCAGAATTACACTTAATCTGTAAGTATAATCATATTTACTAAACCTTTAGTAAATCATGACGAATATCTTTGTTACTCTTATGGTGAACTTGATCAACACACAACTTTGTGTACTCGATCTCCTAGTCCTTCACTTGACACTTTGTCAACGAATTTGTCTAATTTCCAAATATGAAATTTCTCATTCATCATGCAACCAAGTTGCGTGATTCCAAATTTCAGTCCAATTGAAATTTGGGCGATGAGAAACTCTCCCTATTTGGTAAATTCTCGACATTTCCATAAATAACATAACTAAGAATCATATCCATTCGTTGTAGAAATATGCAAACATCAATTTTCATAACGATTTCATTGCAAGGAAGTAAACAAATAAATAAATAAGTCAAACAAAATTTATTTTATTTATAAAAGCAGCGGAAAAACATTTGTCCTTACAATGCAAAATCTATTGAAAACTATGTAAAAGGAAAATTTCTAACAACTCTATCATAACTATCTAAGCTCAAAATCCAATCTTCAAGTCCATGCGATCGAGATCCATCTCTTGTGATTAGATTCATCTTGCTCTCTTATCAAGCTTCCTTTCTTTTCACCGATCCTGCAAAACATTCAAATGCAATCTTATCACATCATGTATTAAGAATCAATGAATAGGAACTTAACGGAGTTAGATAGTGGATTTTACCTGAAGCGTAGTCATACTTTTGACTCTCCCATCTCTTAGATCTCTTAGGTAAATAGGGCAACTTCGTCTCCAATGCCCCTTCTCTTGGCAATAAAAGCAAATTGACTCTTTTGGAACAACACATGGAACTACTTCAGACATCGCCTTTCTCTTATGATCAAACTTTTCGATCATTGCATGTCTTTCATTGCCATTGTCTATATCCATAGAGGTCTTGAAGGCAGATTCACCAATCAACTTTGCTTTTCTATTGCGCCAAACCATTGCTGATTCAGCAGCAATAAGCATATAGGTGAGATCAATAAGGGTCACGTCGTGGTTCATCATATAGTACTCTCTTACGAACTCACTATACGAGTTAGGAAGTGACTGAAGAACCCAATCAACAGCCATCTCTTCACCGACAACGGATCCCATCATTCTTAACCTATCAATGTGTGACTTCATCCCTAAGACGTGTGCACACACCGACTTTCCTTCTTTATGTTTACTTGCCAAAAGGGCTTGAGTGATATTGAACCTTTCAATTTTACAATCTTGTGGGTTAGGGAGAATAATTGGAGGAGGAGGAGGAAGTGAAGCATGATTTCTTGTTCCTCGATCGAATCGTGGAATATCATCTTCATGTGGAATGCTTGTTCCACGGGATTTGGGAAGACCATAGTTGTCGAACTTTGACATCTACAAAACGGGAGAAAACAAATTCAAGTTAGTTGATCGATTGAGTCCTTAGTAAATCACCCAAATGAGATACTAAGGCTAGGACCCAACACAATACGCTACAACCTAGAAAAGGGATGCCGTAATCTAGTTGCAGAATATTTGAAGGTAAGTGAATGACGATTCACTAATTTCCACCATGAAAAACGAAAAAGAAATTTAAGTTTTAAATCTATGAAAACTCCTAGATCCTTTGAGATTCATTGAACATTTCAATGGCATGTTTAAATCTCGATATGCCCCTCTTGTTTGTGACTGGGATGCCGAGGATCACAAAGCGGGTGTGAATAACCATGCAAAGTTACATGGTGCCCTCACATGTTACAGTCACCTATTCGATGTGCCGGTAAACCACACACGCTCCACCGAACTATGACAAACATTGAGTCACCCTTTGCTACCTTTGCTTAGAACCATTTAGTGTGCCGGTAAACCACACACGCTCCACTAACGTCTTCGCAAGGGCACAAAGTGTAATTTCATGGAATTGCATCAATTCACTTTGCCTAAGTAACTAAGATTGGGAATTTGAAAAACATTTAGTTACTTTGTATTTCATTATACTTATAATGGAAGGTTTCGTCCTATCCTACCCGTTCGGCTAACGACCCTCCACTAGTCAAGAGTGCGGTGGGTAAGAGTGGATACCCATTCAATCGCCATTTATAGGCAATTTCCTTAAACACCCCTTATAGACCAGCTTCGTGAATGAGGCCTACTAACGGTAAGACTGACTTTTACTCATACATATATATAATGTTAGACTTTTAATGTTATATATAGTATAGGGTGCATTTTACACTTTTAAAATATTAGGTGATCAAATTTAACAATTATACTTTTAATTCAATTAAATTGTAAACCTAAACTTTTATGGATTTATTAAATCTCTTTTAATTATACACCTTAATTAATTAATAAAACCATAAGGGAGTGATTTGAACTTTTCAAAACATTACTAGGGTTTTAGAATTTAACATTCCTAATTAACTTTTAATCAACTTTTAAATTCCAAAACTTGAGGGCAAGTTTTGAAACCTTTTTCAAAACATTAGGGTTTTAACTATTTAAATTTCAAAACTTCAAAACTTTTGGGTTCAAATTTAAACTATAAAACCTAAAGGGGAAAATATGAAACTTTTCATAACAACAAGGATCAAATAACAAATAATTTTAAATTAACATTTAATCACATAATTGATTTATTTAATGATTTCTTGCAAAACAATTTATCAATTTACTCAAAATAATTAATCAATTATCTTATAAGGAAACAATTATCTTATTAATTGATAAATATCTTCATTTAGATCAAAAATATAGTCAAATATATCATATAATCGGATTAATATTGATCTAACATGATAAGGTAACTATCCATATGCAAAAACAGCAAGAAATCCCGAGATAAGCACTATCTGACGAGTTGACTCGTCGAGTCAAGCCTGGACTCGTCGAGTCACCCTGGACTCGGCGAGTTCAGCTATGGACTCGGCGAGTCCAGCCTCTAGAACACCAAAAAATCGAATTTTTTAGATATACAATGCATCAATACAATTGAAACCATCCTAGGCTCTGATACCACTGATGGGTTTTGGTCATAAGACATCCTATGTGCTCATACAAACCCTAATGCTTGGATCTAGGTTTCTCTATTGTACATGCTTTGAATCCAAGACTATAAACCCTAATTCTAGCATATGGAAATCGATATTAACATATAATTAGGTTTAAGATATTACCTTGATTGTTATGTAGCAATAACAATCCTAATTCCTCCTTGAATTGACTTTGGAAGGCTTAGAGTCACAAGTGTCACTCCTCTAATGGCTTACAAACACCAAGAGCAAATGGAGAAGGTATAAAGAGAGAGGAGAGAGGTAGGAATTCGTCCTTAGGACTTCTTGGGAAGGCTTACACGAATTCATGAGCCTTAGGGGGTTTATATAGGTGTAAAGATTAGGGTTTTAGTCCTTATCCTTATCTAGTTGCTTGCCCACCAAGTAACCATAAGATAAGTCTTAGAAACCCTTATCCTAGTCGAATTCTAAGGCATTATCTCCTTAAATTCGTTCACCCTATATTTAAGATAATCCTTACCTTATTTTGTAACTATCACATAATTACAAATCAACCCCTCTAGTTTAATTAATTACACTTGATCACAAAATTAATTCCTAATTAATTATTGACCAATATTAATTAAAAAAATATGATTTCTCCTTTAATATATTATTCTTATAACATATTAATAAATCATAATAACCTCTCTCTCTTTATTTATTTCTCCAATCAAGTTGTTTTGGTGAAGGCAACCCAAAAGGACCATGCACTATCGGATCAAGTACATACCAAAATAGTTATGGACTTAGACACTAATCCAACACATCCATCTTCACTGTTGATCCAGGGTTAGTCCTTTTTAGCTCTTCTCCATAGCTCCAATTTTTAGCATAATGGTCCTATAAAGTACCCTCTATCTCCTTAAATGCATACCTCCTTGCATTTCTGCACTGTCCCACACTTGCAATCAAATTAAATGTCTTGCTAACTTTAGCCTCACACTCATTTTTGGTTTCTGGAGAATCTGATTCATGAAATAATTACCTATCCATTTATAGGTAACAATGGACCCAAATTTGAAGACTCTTGAGCAATTGCGTTTATCAATTAAAGATTTAATTTGGAATGACCTTTCATTGCTCATCCAGGTTGCCCACAACCTAAAGGGACAACCTTTATTCTTCTTGTTCTTCATACCTTTACAACACTTCACCAGTAACCTGTTATGATCACTTTTTTCATACCACAATTCATACCCATTCTTCACTGCATAATTGGTTAGACATAGCTTCAATTGCATTGGGTTTGCAAACTTCATACCTAGAATTGGCATCATCTTATCCCATGCTTGGTTCTCATCATGGATAGGGAATACAACCTTCTCATATTTTCCATCATTAGGTTCATTATCATCACTAAGCTTACCTGAAAGTTTGTTTAAAAAATTGTCACCAACAGTTTTGTTAAAGGTATGGACTTCTTCATCATCTTCATGCTCATATGCCATAATACCATCCAAGTTATCATTTTCTTCACTATCATCCTCTTCTACATTCTCATCATCTTCTTCACTATCATACCCATTACCATCTGATAACACCTCATTTTCAACCCAATCAAGGATTGGATCATTTTGTTGGTCAATGTAGACATCCAACTCAGCTTCAGGAGTATAAGTAGCTTCAACAAACTCCCAATAATCAACATCACTGTCGATTCTTATAATACCCTCACCTAAGGTTTCCTTTCTACTACAGTAGTACACATTATCACAACTTCCATTTGTTAAATTCCTAAGCCACAAAAGATACTCTTTGTAGGAAAACCCTCCAAAATCGACATCACGCACTGTTATCTTTTCGAGGTCTAAGTATTTCAACGGATTTCGGGCAAATACTCCACTGTAATGAACATCTACAGTTAAATACATACGTGTAGATGATTCAGACGCCATCTTGTAGTCGACTTCAACACGTGATTATGGTGAATTTGGTGAATCGAATCTACAATCGGGAGGTGATTATGTTGAAATTGAACGTATAGAACCCTAATTAAATGAGAGAGGGAAGTAATGGCCATGTAAGAATCCACGCAATTAGCTTTAAATGAGTAACACTCAGTAAAAACGATGCAACCGGTTAAAACGGGCAAAAACAGGTAATAATCGGTCATATTACTTAAATATGAACATAACTAACAAGTTTGTTCCATTAATGAGAACAAAAAAAAGAATATTACCTATATGTGGACAATCAAAATAGTTAGTTACCTTCATAAGTCATTTTCCCTGTACAATTACATATTTAAATTTGTGGTTCTATCATTCTACTCTATATAGTTTATGCACCGAATGTTGAGAACAATTGACCGAACAAAAAAAAGTCAAACATGAGGTACCTATATTCACATACTCAAACAAGAGGTACAACAAGCAAGTGGGGGTAAGCATAAAATTAGCTTAATAAATATACATTGCAGATTATAAATAAATAACAAGAAACTATTAGCTATATAAATAAATTAAAAATAAATAAAATACATGTATCTATAATTTGTCAAATAAAACACTCACTATTTTGGATCTTAAGTTTGTAGTGGTTTCTACCTACTATAATGGTCCACATTTCTTGCCAAACGTAAAATAGCAAATCGACAATATTTTGTTGTGTGAACATTCAAGTGTTCAACTCTTCAAAGCAAAACTAAATGGGCCCTCATGTCATCCGATTCATGCGTTGATGATTCCAATTTAAAAAGTGTTTTCATTATCATTTTTTAAGATCGCTTATTTTCTTTTCCCATTAGTCAGACACACCTTTTTTGGTAAAATAGCGATAATAATGTCTCATAAAAATCATTTTTAAAAAAAAAAATAGTGACTATGTTAAACCAAATACATCTCATAGTTTTAAGGGAAATATGCCGAAGTTGTCAAGTATTTCCTTTTGTTGCTTATTTGAGTAATAATATTATATTTTTGGGGGGAGGGTTGTACGTTGGGCATACATAGTGTGCGCAGGACGTACAAAGCTGAGGCGCGAAACGGGTGAAGCCCATGCGTACGTTGGGCGTACCCATGCGTAAGCTGGCTAGATGTAAACTCTAAATTTTAGGGTTTGCACCTTATATGAACACATTAAGTTCGTCCCAACCTTCATTCTTTCATCCTCCACTGTCCTTAAAGTGCTAAACTCGAACCCTAAGCCTCTTGCATGCATTTTGAGCTAATCTTGTGCATTTTTTTTTGTGATATTTGGTGATTTTAAAGAAGAAGAAGTTTGAAGAAGGAGTAAGAATGTGAAGAGGGCTTGTAGATCTAGACGTTTGTCATCATTTCTGACTTATTTGAGGTACAAAGCTTTAACATTGATCATTGAATGCTTAGATCTAGTTTTGGGTGTTTTATATTGCATTTTGGCTCCATAGTTGAGGTTTATTGTGTTTTAGAAGTTCCAGTCAATAAGAGTTGTCCTTTTTGGCCCTTGGAAGTGTTTCGAGCCATAAGCATTGGGCCTTGATGGCTTAGCCTCAACTATGCAAGTGTTAGATGACAAAAAAGTGTGTTTATGGACTTAAATCATGTCTTAATCCCCATCCATGTGTGCAAAAGCATAAAGTTTATAACTTAATGGTTTAGGACGTCTTTAAGGGTATGGATCTATGTTCTGGACGTTAGGACTTTACTGATTAAGTCACAATGAAGCTTCTAAGGTGGCTGGCCAGTACGCTTGGCATACCCCTGGTACACTGCGCGTACTCGGTCAACTTCTCGTAACTGGTCAAGGCCAGCGTACGTGCCAAATACGCCGCACATACGCATGCAGTGGGTTAAATGTGATTTTTGGGCCTTAGGACTTTAGGCCCGGATTAGTTAGGCCTCAAGCCCACCTATGGATTAAGGCCTCTGGGCCTAGGCCTAGGATTTATGGTATTGGGCCTTAAAGCTTAGTTGGATGTACTTGGATTTTTTTAATTTGAAATTTGGGCCTTGGAAGGAAGAGGCCCAATAAGGAAAAGATTAAGGAACCTTTGCCTTATGTCATGAATCAGCGTTTGGTCCTCAGAGACAGGTTTAGATCTAATTTCTAATAGGAGATTTATTGTGTTATAAGGAGAGGAGTTCCGAGTCGTTCAAGGAGTATGATTTGACATTCGCAGTTGAGATGAGTCTCCTTCGTGATGTTACGGGTTGAAGGCACCGAGGCCATCCTTTTATTTATTGTATTGTGTAATGTTTTTCTGTGTGATAATTATCATGGTTCACGTATTGCTCGATGATTATGTGATTTATGTATGTTATTATGTGGTAATGGTAGGGGCAACATAGGCCCCGTAACCGGTTGAAATAAACCGGAGGGTAGGTCAGGCACCCATATATGACTGGTAGGATAGGTCGGGCACCCAGATATGCTTGACAGGGTAGTTCGAGCACCAATATATGATCGACAGGGTAGGTCGGGCATCCAGATATGACTGACAATATGTTTGTGATATATGTGGTATGATGGGGGAAACTCACTAAGCTTTGTACTTACTATTTTAGTTTGTGTTTTAGGTACTTCTAGCTCAAAGGGGAAGGGGCCAGCTTGATCGCGACTCATCACACTATGATTTTCCATAGTAGGGATTTTGAGACTTATGCTTTGATAATGTTTTTCCACAAATTGTCTCGATTATACACCATAACTATTTTATGTTTTCGTGATCTTGGAATCAATGACGTTTTATGTTTGTGATTAGGTAAACCTTAAAAAAAAAATTGAATCGTATTTTTAGGGATGTTACAAGTTGGTATCAGAGTCTTGGTTTGAGGGATTCGGATACACTCTCGGGTGTGTTTGAACTCAAATAGAGGGTTTGATAGATTTTCATAAGAAAAAACATTTTTAATTTAGAACTTTAATAAAAGACAGACATGTGATGCGTGCAATCAACCAGACTCAAGTAAGTTTTCCCTAAGATACCCATATCTATTATATGCTATGAATTTATTATGCATATGTGAATTGCATGCGAGATAGGGCTAGGGATTTTCTCACTTTTTGGATGATAGAATTCTAGGAGAGATGCCTTAAATGCCTGTTGTATGAGTTTGTAAGACTTGCATGCTAGCGTTTACCTTTCAGTGATAGGATGACCTAATTAGGGTTTGTTTGCCTTGTTACCCGAAGCCAGAATGTTGCTTGCTTTGTGCTTCTAGGGGTTCTAACTAACCTCAGCTAACTAGTGGGCGAAAGCGCCAATTTACATGTTATGTGAACCAAATAATTTCAGAAGGTTACGTTTGGCTCTACTGTGCAACTCTTCTTTGAGTCCAACTGTTGTAACGTAAGACTTCTCATTCGAAGAATTATCTGGTTTTAGTAGTATGTAACTGTATTTGTGTGCTAGTTAGAGGAAGTTCGTGGGAAATCCTTTCGGCAGCTGAGGGCAGTGTGTGGAGAGAAGTTGTGTCCTAGAGGGTGTCTAGGAAGAGATTAGTGCCAGGATCTCATCTGGTTTCAATTGCATGTCGGATAGGAAGTGTAACGCCCAGGTTTCAGGGCTAAGCATTTTAGACAATGTAATAGTCTAGGTCAACTCTTGTAACTCTTTTTGAATTAATAAAGATGAAATATTTGAGTATTATGTGAATTATGTGTATTTATGTGGTTAGTATTTAATTATAAATGTATAATTAATAAAGAATAAAAATAAGCATCAAAATTAAAGTGTGAGATAAGCCCTATATCTCTACATAAAGTTGTAGTGGTCGAAACAAGGATTTCGGGGATATAGAGAACGCCAAAATCCGAGTTATAACGAAGAAGTTATGGCTCGCCAAAGTTTTACGGCAAAACCAGCACGGCACCGGGAGACGTAAATAGTGAATTTACGATGAAGGACTTTTTAGCCTTAGTGATCTAAACCAAAGTTGTAGTATATGTTAAACCGAGAACATCCATAAAAATAACGCCCAAATCTGACTTCGTATGGGGAAGTTATGATTTTTCTAAGATTCGGCTTACTAGTGCACGGCCTGAAACTCGAATTTTAGTTCGAGCGGTTTTTGGCTTACGCGACCTAAATGATAGTTAAATATCTCATTAATAGGAAATCAACGGTAAAAAGACAGACGAAAACAGAGTCCGTATGTAGAAGTTATGAATTTTACGCGGACGTTTAACAGTATAATCTCCTTGTACTGTTAAATTTAAGATCGGTCGAGAATTAGCCGACGAAGTCAAAATGAAAGTTGCAGATCTTATTATTACCTATGTGTGGATATAAAGAACATCAAAAATGGAGGTCTTATGTGAAAGTTATGGATTTTGAAGTCGGAAGTGTGTTGTGCGAAAATGGGTGATGTGGCACAATCTTGGCCATTGCTTTCTCCCCAAGGCTTGCCACCAGATGGTGACATGTGGTACCAAGTTCAGCCACATTTCACACTATAAATACCACCTCTCCCACCCTCATTTTCTTCACACATTTCCCATTATTTCTTCTCTTTACTCTCTCTCTAGAACCTCTCTCTAGCCCCGAACCCCCCCCCCCTCCCCCAAAAAAAAGCCTAGGGAACCTCCCTAGCACGAGACGGAAGCCCTGGAGTGCTCGACGGCTCCGAGAAGAAGAGCTTTTCGGCTCGGAAACGTTGCTCCAAGCAAATCCTGGTTTTCTATAAAACCCGCTGTAAGTGAGCTACGCCTACGCTATTTTTAATATAGCTTTTATTTAATTATAGTAACGTTATTAAGAACTTATAATAAATACTTGGGATATTATTATGGGTTATATAAGTATTTTTTTAACGCTTATATAATAATAATAATAGCTAGACTATTAATTAGTCTCGGCGAATAATAGACTAAACTCTAGTGGTAAAAATACTAGGTTTCGTCGAAGAAAATTCTTTTAAGAAGCGAAGCGTTGTATGAGTTCGGAATCACCACCTGTTCAGGTGAGTGCATAGTT